ACGTTTGCCATACACATGGATAGGACGTGGCCGAGGAAGTGTGATTCTTTCTTCTGGAATTCCTGAAAGATCTGGACGTAACGGCGGTCGTCGGAAAGAGATGGATGGTGCTGACGAATCGCTACCCTGCAATGAAGAGAATTATGTAGTCATTTAAATAGCAATACTGTACCGAAAACGTGATTTCAGCAAACGCCAACTGTATCGATTCCTATTTTACTTTTGTAAATAAGTTCTCAAGTTGTAATTATCTAATTTAAATACCACTACTGAATGGGTCTAACACTATTACTTATATACTGCCATTATCGTGTATAAAAGAGTCACAGAAGAACATAACGGTACCTTTATTTACTGCCTAAAGAAACATGGCAAGGAATTTGCTGTTTGTACTCACCTCAACGTCTGGTTGAATGTCACTCTCGTCTATACGAGGAGTACCAAACGTACTTTCATGTAAATCGTACGATGGCCTTGGTGTAACTGAGAATCTTCTATCCATGTGTTCCTGTCGCAAATAAAATAAACCATTTGAACCATTAATTTAATTCATATAAACGATAAATCATGGCAGTGTTAATGAACTTTGTCGAAATACAATTGACAGCATCTTAGGTTTCATTTTTTCGATATAACGATGAAGAAAGTTAACAGCGTGCAGTTGCAGCATATATTACAGGGAATAATCATAATACCGAACGAAGACTCTGTCGGGCTTATACCATTTGAATATGACAACGGAATATCATATTGTCGTTCGTTTAAATAACAGTCTGTCACATGCTATTTGAAATTGATCTATTTTTAGTGATGCTAAATGTAATATTTTGCATATTATTCGGAAGTGTTTCAAAAGTATATCCTGGCGACCAGTACTGAATGATTAAAGACAATAACACTGTACATGGTTAGTCTACACACATAATTACTGTAATCAGTGTGCCCTCCAAGACATTATTATGGAATTTGATAAAATGAAATTTATATTTAATAAATAAAATAAGTGTTTTTGTGCATCAAGTCAAATATACAATACATTTTTATTTTTACCGACCGACCTCCCCAGCAGTTAATACCTTGGCTCAACTTGATTTTGGGGTTAGAGAACACCTTGACTATACTATACTATTTTAAGAAGCCATATATAATGTTCTACATACGTTCAAATCAGGTGCATGTTCAATTACTGCAGCGATATGCCTTTCGTCTGCTGTGTTCAGGGACCCTGTACTGCCTGAATAACTTCTCGTCAACCTCCCGTCGACGTCAAAACTTCCGAGACCAAAATCGTCCCACCCTCCTCCATCATTCAAAGAATCAATAACGTAATCGTTCGGCTGAATTGCCGTTAAGTGCCCAGCTGCATTGTAGGATTGTTTTTCGCTCCTGCGTTGGCAATATTGGTAAACTGCAAACACCGCAATAAGTATGATAGCTAGTAGCAATACTGCCACAAGTACACCAAGCACAATCTGCATGGCATCAGTATCGTCTTGGGGAAGTTTTTCTACAGGAGATTCTGCAATGAATGTAATAACAACCATGGTAATCAACAATTTGCTGCCAAGGCTCTGAATTGCAATTGATACACAATTTTTTTGTCGAAAAACATATTGGATTTTCAAGTTTACTGCTTCTTTTTACTGGAGAAAGTGGTGTACAAATACGAAACCGTTTGAGCGGGCGATCATGAGCATCATGAGCTTACCTGAATATTTGCTAGGGATCATCGTTAATTGGTAAGTAACATACAATTTTACTAGCACAATATATATCTTTTGTAATATACATGACATTTGTATACATACCTGTTGTTGTTGTTGTCAGCGCTTCACAATAACGCCCTGGATACGCGGTGTTCAGATCTTCAAATCCATTCTTACACGAACAATTGAACTTCCCATCAGATAATGTATGGCAGTTTGCATTATCACTACAATCGTTTAACTCATCATAGTCACATGCATCAAAATCTGAAATAATGAATAGCTAGTGAATTTGTAGATAAAAGTAGATAACAATCTCGCTAGATATTCTGTATTATATCTTATCGATCTATTCTGCAAACATTAGCTGTCTGTGTGTAACTGGACGTCTCTCTAACACATGTTATGACAGTGTAGCAAAACCTGCATTTGTATGCTATTTTTATATAATCATAGAACTGATGTGTATATGTTTGCTGTACTGAGAAATCAATGTTAAAATAATTAGTTTGTACTCATATTTTTTGCCATGCGTGAAAGTCTAACTGGTATACAAACGCGAGATTAGCTTTATTTTCAATCCAAACCCTGAATCATCTAGCTGGCTCAAGTGCACAAGCGTATACTATACGTTTCTAACAGTAGCATCGTTTTCATAAAAGGTTGGATGGTCAATAAAGTGCTGGTTCACATCGGGTAAAAATGATGGATTTGAATTCAGTCGCTGAATTATTAGTTTTTCGTTTACGTCTTTGAAAGAAACTTCAAGCGTCACTTAATTACACGAGTTTACCCCGAGATACAATATACTACTCACCTGTGTAGCTTATTGTGAATGGCGGAATCTGCCACATATCAATTCCTGTATCCAACATTCCATCATCTAAGCTCTCAAATAGCAATGCTTCTAGTGCTAACGTATCAATGTTGGCGTCATCGTTGAACACCAAGGTATACACTGGTTTCACACTACCTTTCAACAATTCAAGAAGTTCTGTCTCCTGATAAGTGTATTTTGTAGTTTCTGAATTCTTGTAGATGCCGTTCATCTATACAGAATAAGTATAATCGTATTAAAACCCTTATTTTGTACATTAGTCTATATGTCGTATTTACGTGGTATTTGTTTTTATACTAGCTTCAATTTGACTGTCACCGAAACACGTCGAAATGATTTGCCCAAAAGATGGTTACTGAGACCAAGAACCAGCATGGAACATGACAACACCATTAGTCTCAATTTTAAAGCTTCCAAGTCAGGAAACAAGATTTCAGTAACTCACTGGCTACATCTCATCACGCAGATTTCACTTTCAGCGCTCAACTTGATTCTTTAGCGAAGAGTGAAACAAAAACACCAGAAGTCAATGGTACCAGAATGTTGTTATTTCTGAATTTGAATCTGCACTTTGTGTTCTGTTGTCAAACGACAGCAACGACGTGCATAGCGTAATTCCAACTTATTTTGAAACAGATTCCGTACAACATGTCATTATGACAATCAACATGATTTCCAGTAAATTACATGAATATGCAAATTATTTTTCGATGTAATTACAAATGTCATATTTTACTCACTGCAGTTTTAAACTGTTCCTCAAATTGTTTGTATTCAATAGAATTCGGATTAGCATAATTCTCTTTGTATTCCTCATTAACGATAATAAATTCTCCTTGTACTTTTTGGGATTCTATTAAAACAATAATAC